CTCCACAGCCATACTGCCACGGTGCGTCTGGGTCCCTCTGTCTCCTCCTCCTCTACCAGATGCTCTCTGCTCCTCCACTCCTGTCCGCTGAGTGGAAAAGACTCACCCATTTCACCTCTCAATAATTCCTGAGCACAAATGTCCCTCCACTACCTCCTCATATTCTTGCCTGTCCTGGCCCCCACAGGGGTCATGTGGCGTTGAGATCTTGTGCCGCCACGTCTACCGCACCCTGACCAAGCCATTTGATAACAGCATTTGCTTCCAGGACGTGCAAACAGAGGAATGAACGTCGTTCATCCCCATAGTTCCTCCGCCGACTCACTCGAATAGCGTGGCCTCCTCAAAAGGGCCTGAGCCAAGCGGCAGGTGTCACGCATGAGCTGCCAATGGCTGACATATAAGTTACACAGGGCGAGTACCTTTATCCCGCTGTGTAACATCATGAAATACAGTGATGGGCCCTTTCGGCTGTTCGTAAAAGGCGGGGATTTCTTACATGTTGTAGGGTTGCATTCCACCTTGTAGCAAACGTCGCAGATCATGGGCGATGCTGTGGGAATTCCGTTCTGCCTGGCCCTGCAGGTCTCAAGGAGGGTGTGCTTTGCGGGTGTAGGAATGGCTGAAATGCAATGCAAGGTTTTACGTGAACATTTTAAGATGTTCTAGCAGTGGGATGGTTGGATTTTAGGAACCCGCTTGACAATCATAGTGAACACAGTGCGCCATGCATGGCCGCATGGCACCAACCTTCCTTTGACGCAGAGCAGACACCATGTTCTTTTTCCGTTGTCGGTTCAACATGGTTCCGATTTTCAGTTTGCGCGGGAGACAGCCATTTCTGTCGATTATCTCTGTTCATTACACTGAGGAAGTTCCTCCCCTGTGGTGACTATCGTTCGCCTGGACCTGGGGCAGCAGCATGGAGGAGGCGGTATAGGGGCCCATGGCAGATTAAGGGGCCTGGCCAGCAGCTATGGGCAGGCCCGTAATCTGCCCAGCACCCTATGGTTCAAAAAATTGAACACACCAGGCAGTGTGTGAGGAGCACCTGAAAGTGGCCACATGGCAGAGAGTGGCGATTGGAGGAACAGCAGCATGGGGAGGCCGTACAGGGACCCATGAAGAGACTCTGGACTTGCGCAGCAGCATTGAGGAAGGCGGTTATAGGGGCCCATGGGCAGATTAAGGGGCCTGGCAAGCAGCTATGGGAGGCCGTAATCTGCCAGCACCCTATGGACACAAAATGGAACACACCAGCAGCTGTGAAGGAGACCATGAAAGTGGACACATGGCAGAGTGTGGCGATGTGAGACAGCAGCAATGGGATGGCCGTACAGGGAACCCGATGTAGAGACTCTGGAGCTTGGCAGAAGCATGAGGAGGCGGTATAAGCGGGGCCCATCGGCAGATTAGGGGCATGGGCAAGAAGCTATGGGAGAGGCCCTTATAACTCTGCCAGCACCCTAAATGGACAAAAAATGGAAATCAACCTCAGCAGTGTGAGGAGACCTGAAATGGGGACATGGCATGAGAACACACTGTGGACCTGGCAGAGCAGCACATCTGAGGAGGCGGTACAGGGGGCCCCATGGCAGAATTAGGGTGCCTGGTCAGCAGCTAATGGGAGGGCCCCGTTAATCTGCAGGCACCCTATGACAAACAAAGGAACACCAGACCAGCAGTGTGAGGAAGACCTGAATGTTGGCCACATGGCAGAGTGTGGCGATGGAGAACAGCAGCAATGGGGAGGCCCGTACAGGGACCCATGAGACACTCTGGACCTGGCAGCAAGCATGAGGAAGGCGCTATAGGGGGCCCATGGCAGATTAGGGGCCTGGCAGAGCTATGGGAGCCCACGTAATCTGCCAGCACACCTATGACAAAAAATTGGAAACACACCAGCAGTGTGAGGAGGACCTGAAAGTGGCACATTGGCCGAGCGTGTTATGTGGCGATTGGATGACAGCAGCAATGGGAGGCCGTTACAGGGACCCATAAGCACAACTCTGGAACCTGGCAGCAGCATGAGGAGAGGCGGTGGTTTAGGGGCCCATGGGCAGATTAGGGGCCTGGCAAGCAGCTATGGGAGGGCCCCGTAATCCTGCCAAGCACCCTATGACAAAAAATGGAACACCAACCCGCCAGTGTGAGGAGACCTGCACGTAAGCACATGGCCGAGAGCTGTGGCGATGGAGACAGCAGCAATGGGAGGCCTACAGGGGACCCATGAGAACCCCCCCCCCCCACTCACCCCACCTGGCAGCAGCTGAGGAGGCGGTACTGGGGCCCCCCCCCCCCCCCCCCCCCATGAGGCAGATTAGAGGACCTGGCAGCGCAATGGGAGGCCCGTAATCCGGACACACCCTTTGAGACACTGTGGACCTGGCGAGCCAGCATTGAGTGAGGCGGTAACCTGAAGTGGCACATTGGGCAGAGTAGTGGCGCTGGAAGACCAGCAGCAAATGGGAGGCCGTAAATCCGGGACCCATGAGAGACTCTGGACTTCGCAGCAGCATGATGAGGGCGTAAAGGGGCCACCATGGCAGATTACGTGCCTCGCAGCATCGACCTGAAAGGGTGGCACATGGCAGAGTGTGGCGATGGAGACAGCAGCAATGGGATGGCCGTACAGGGACCCGATGGGGGGGGGTGTCTACGTGCCCCAGTCCTCTGACTTCGCAGAGCAGCTTTATGGTGATGGCCCAGTTAAGTTATTATAGTTGGGGGGGGGCCCATGCATAGATTACGGGGCCTCCTGACTTTAGCTAATGGTAGGCTAACGTAATTTGCCAGCATCCTCACACATGGGAACAATACAAACAAGGACAACCCCCACTAGCACTCCCCCTCCAGTGAGGAGACCTGTAAATGCAACATGGCAGAGTGTGGCGGATGGAGACAGCAGCAATGGGAGGACGTCCGTACATGGACCCATGAGACACTCTGGACCTGGCAGCAGCATGAGGAGGCGCTAATCGAGGGCCCATTGGCAGATTAGGGGCCTGGCAGCGCTATGGGGAGGCCCGTAATCTGCCAAGCCCCTATGACAAAAAATGGAACACACGACCCAGCAGTGTGAGGAGGACCTGAAAGTGGCACGATGGCAGAGTGTGGCGATGGCGACAAGCAGCAATGGGGGCCGTACAGGACCATGAGACACTGTGGACCTGGCAGCAGCATGAGGTAGGAGGCGGGTATAGGGGCCCATGGCAGATTAGGGGCCTGGCAGCAGCTATGGGAGGCCCGTAAAATCTGCCAGCACCCTATAACAAAAAATGGAACTCACACCATGCATCAAGTGTGAGGAGACCTGAAAGTTGGCACATGGCAGAGTGTGGGATGGAGACAGCAATTTAGCAATGGCGAAGGCCGTACAGGGACCCATGAGAGACACTGGACTTCCACTGCCTGCAGCATGAGGAGTCGGTACAATATTAGGGGGGGGCCCATGGACGATTAGGGGCCTGGCAGCAAGCTATGGGAGGCCCGTATATCTGCCAGCACCCCTATGACAAAAAATGGAAAACACCAGGCAGTGTGAGGAGACACGCTGAAAGTGGCACATGGATGAGGACACTGTGGACCCTGGAAGCAGCCGGCATTGAGGCAGGCGGGTGTTTTCAGGGCCCATGGCAGAATTAGGGGGGCCTGGCAGCAGCTATGGGAGGCCGCGAAATCTGGCCAGCAAACCCTATAGGTCAAAAAAATTGAACACACACAGCAGTGTGTGTCGGAGACTGAATAAGTGGCACAGTGCATGCTCGACACTGTGTGACCTGGCCGCAGTTTACTCATGCAGGGCGAGTTGTACAGGGGTCCATGGCCTTGCAGATTAGGGACCTGGCAAGCAGCCTGCTATGGGAGTGAGCCCGAAATCTGCCACTTGCACCCTATGACAAAAAATGAAACCACACCAGCAGTGTGAACGGCCAGCCCTGAAAGTGGCACATGGCAGAGGTGTGGCGATGGGCCCAGCAGCAATGGGAGGCCGTACAGGAGGGACCCTGAGACACTCCTGGACCTGGCAGCAGCATGAGGAGTCGTTAGGGGCCCATGGCAGATTAGGGGCCTGGCAGCAGCTATGGGAAAGGGCCCCCCCCCGTAATCTAGCAGCAACCCTATGTCCAAAAAGGTGGAACACACAAAAGTCAGTGTGGTGAGGAGACCTGGAACAGTTGGCACATGGCAGAGGGTGGCGATGGAGACAGCAGCAATGGGGAGGCCCGTTATTACAGGGACCGCATGATAGACACTCTGGAACTGCAAGCGAGCATGAGGAGGGCGCTATAGGGCCCAAAGGCAGATTAGGGGCCTGGCAGCAGCTGTATGGGAGGCCCGTATTTGCCACACCCTATGTCAAAAAATGCGTCAACACACCAGCAGTGTATGAGGGAGACCTGAAACCAGTGGCACATGCTCCTCCCAGAGTGTGGCGATGGAGAAACTGCAGCAATGGGAGGCCGTACAGGGGACTCATGAGACACTCTGGACCTTGGCAGCAAGCAATGAGGAGGCGCTATAGGGGCCCATGGCAGATTAGGGGTCCTGGCAGCAGCTATGGGAGGCCCGTAATCTGCCAGCACCCTATGTCAAAAAAATTGAACACACCAGCCCAGTGTGTGAGGAGACCTGAGAAAGTGGCACATGGCAGAGTGTTGGCGATGGAGACAGCAGCAATGGGAAATGGCGATACAAGGGACCCATGAGAGACTCTGGACTTTCGCGCAGCATGTGAGGGAGGCGGTATAGGGGCCCATGGCAGAATTAAAGGGGCCTGGCAGCAGCTATGGGAGGCCCGTAATCTGCCAGCACCCTATGTCAAAAAAGGGGAACACACCTGCAGTGTTAGGAGACCTGGTTCGTAAAGTGCGCACAGGCATGAGATGAATTACACTGTGGACCTGGCAGCAGCATGAGGAGGCGGTATCAGGGCCCCATGGCAGATTAGGGGCCTGGCAGCAGCTATACGGGAGGCCCGTAATCTGCCAGCACCCTATGACAAAAAAGGAACACACCAGCAGTGTGAGGAGACCTGAAAGTGGCACATGGCAGAGTGTGGCGATGGAGACAGCAGCAATGGGAGGCCGTACAGTGACCCATGAGAGACTCTGGACCTGGGCAGCAGCATGAGGAGGCGCGTTATAGGGGCCCAATGGCAGATTAGGGGCCTGGCAGCAGCTATGGAGGCCCGTAATCTGCCAGCACCCTATGACAAAAAATGGAACACACCAGGAGCAGCCAGTGTGAGGAGACCTGAAAGTGGCACATGGCAGAGTGTGTGCGATGGATAGACAGCACAATGGGAGAGGCCGTACAGGTGACCATGGAGACTCTGACCCTGGCAGCAGCATCTGAGGAGGCGGTATAGGGGCCCTAATGGCAGATTAGGGGGCCTGGCAGCAGCTATGGAGGCCCGTAATCTGCCAGCACCCTATGTCAAAAAATTTGAACACACCAGCAGTGTGTGAGGAGACCTGTGAAAGTGGGCACATGGCAGAGTGTGGCGATGGAGGACAGCAGCAATGGGAGGCCGTACAGGGACCCATGAGAGACTCTGGAACTTGGCAGCAGCATGAGAGGCGGTATAGGGGCCCATGGCAGATTAGGGGCCTGGCAGCAAGCTATGGGAGGCCCGTAATCTGCCAGGCCCCCATGACAAAAAATGGAAACACACCTGCAGTGTGAGGAGACCTGAAAAGTGGCACATGCATGCGGACACTGTGGAACCTGGGCACGCAGCATGAGAGGCGGCGTTCAGGGGCCCATGGCAGATTAGGGGCCTGGCAACAGCTGGTGGGAGGGCCCGTAATCTGCCAGCACCCTATGACAAAAAAGGAACACACCAGCAGTTTGTGAGGAGACCTGTAAAGTGGCACATGTGCAGAGTGTGGCGATGGAGACACGCAGCAATGGGAGGCCGTACAGGGACCCATGAAGACACTCTGGACCTGGCAGCAGCATGAGTGAGGCGCCTATAGGGGGCCCATGGCTAGATTAGGGGCCTGGCAGCAGCTATGGGAGGCCCCGTAATCTGCCAGCTACCACTATGGGACAAAAAATGGTCTACACACCAGCAGTGAGTGTGAGGAGACCTGAAAGTGGCACATGGCAGATTGTGGCGAATGGAGACAGCAGCAATGGGAGGCCGTTACAGGGACCCTGCATGAGAGACTCTGGACTTGTCAGCAGCATGAGGAGGCGGTAGATAGGGGCCCATGGCAGATTAGGGCCTGGCAGCAAGCTATGGGTAGGGCCCGTAATCTGCCAGCACCCTATGTCAAAAAATGGAACACACAGCCGTAGTGTGTGAACCCAGCAGTCGTGTGAGCCACCAGCAGTGTGTGAGGAGACCTGAAAGTGGCACATGGCAAGAGTGGTGGCGAATGGAGAAGCAGCAATGGGAGGCCGTACAGGGACCCAAGAGACACTCTGGGACCTGGCAGCAGCATTGAGGAGGCCAGCTATAGGGGCCCATGGCAGAGAGGGGCCTGGCAGCAGCTATGATGTCTGCCCGGGGTAATCTGCCAGCACCCCATGACAAAAAATGGAACACACCAGCAGTGTGATGGAGACCTGAAAGTGGCACATGGCAATGAGACACTGTGGACCTGGGGTCAGCAGCATGAGGAGGCGGTAACAGGGGGCCCCTCTGGCAGATTAGGGGCCTGGCAGCAGCTTCATGGGAGGCCCGTAATCTGCCAGCACCCTATGACAAAAAATGGAACACACCCAGCAGTGTGAGGAGACCTGAAAGGTGGTCACATGGCAGAGTGCGGCGAGGAGACAGCAGCAATGGGAGGCCGTACAGGGGACCCATGAGACACTCTGGACCTGCAGCAGCATGAGAGGCACTATAGGGCCCTGGCAGATTTCAGGGGCCCTGGCTAGCAGCTGATGGGAGGCCCGTAAATCTGCCAGCCACCCTATGGATCAAAAAATGGAACACACCAGCAGTGATGTGAGGAGACCTGAAAGTGGCACATGGCAGAGTGTGGCGATGGAGACAGCCAGGCAATGGGACGAGGGCCGTACAGGGACCCATGAGAGCCTCGGACTTTGCAGCAACCATGAGGAGGCGGTCATGACGGGGCCCATGGCAGATAGGGGCACAGGGCCAGCAGCTATGGGGAGGCCCTATAATCTGCCAGCGACCCTATGTCAAAAAAAATGGAACACGACCAGCAGTGGTGTGAAAACACACCAGCATGTGAGTGAGGAGACCTGAAAGTGGCACAATGGCAGAGATGGTGGCGATGGAGAGACAGCAGCAATGGGAGGGCCGTACAGGGACCCATGAGACACTCTCTGGACCTGGCAGCACATGAGGACAGAGCTCTTAACAGGGGGCCCATGGCCAGATTAGGGGCCTGTAACAGCAGGCTCAATGGGAGGCCCGTAATCTGCCAGCACCCTATGTCAAAAAAATTGTAACACACCAGCACATGTGTGATGAGACCTGAAAAGTGAGCACATGGCAGAGTGTGGGTTGTTCGATGGAGGACAGCAGCAATGGGAGGCCGTTGACAGTGGACCCATGAGAGACTCTGGACTTCGCAGCCAAGCATGAGGGAGGCGGTATAGGGGCCCATGGCAGATTAGGGGCCTGGCAGCAAGCAATGGGAGGCCCGTAATCTGCCAGCACCCTATGACAAAAAATGGAACACACCAGCAGTGTGAGGAGACCTGAAAGTGGCACATGGCATGAGACACTGTGGACCTGGCAGCAGCCATGAGGAGGCGGTACAGGGGCCCATGGCAGATTAGGGGCCTGGCAGCAGCTATGGGAGGCCCGTAATCTGCCAGCACCCCTATGACAAAAAATGGAACACACCAGCAGTGTGTGAGGAGACCTGAAAGTGGGCACATTGCAGAGTGTGGCGATGGAGACAACCCACCGACTGTTTTGCTCGCTGCCAAGCTGCCACCCTCTTCTCCTGATGATGCGGAAGCAATAGCCTGATGACGACGAGGCTGCCAAGTGCGATCAGCCTCATCATCATCAATTAGGGTCTCCGCCTCACTACTAGCCCCCTCGGCTGCGTGTGGGTTCAGGAGACAGACCTGTCTCTAGACCGGCTACCGAGCCACTCTCCTCGCCACTTACTTCTTCGCCTGGCTGCTTAAGAGGCGGAATGTCTCCCCCCGTTCCTGACCGCCCTCTGATAGCTCTTCCTCACTGTACTGATGACACCGGGAGCACTGGCCTCTTGCTGCGAATAGTGCTGCCTCGACCCCCTCTGCTCCTCTGCTGCCACGTCTGCTCGCTCCTAAAAATTGCCTCCTCTGCCACTCCTCTGCAATGTTGTCTGACATACTCTTTAATTCAACGATTCTGTGTCCCTGAGTATCAATTCTGTGTCTGTCCCTGTAGTAACAATTCTGTGTCCCTGAGTAACGTTTTCTGTGGCCCTAAGTAACAGTTCTGTGGCCCTCAGTAACAATTCTGTGTCCCTCAGTAACAATTCTGTGTCCCTCAGTAAACAATTCTGTGTCTGTCCCTGAGTAACAATTCTGTGTCTGTCCCTGAGTAACAATTTTGTGTCCCTGAGTAACGTTTCTGTGGCCCTAAGTAACAGTTCTGTGGCCCTCAGTAACAATTCTGTGTCCCTCAGTAACAATTCTGTGTCTGTCCCTGGTAACAATTCTGTGTCTCTGTCCCTGAGTAACAATTCTGTGTCCCTCAGTAAACATTCTGTGTCCCTCAGTAACAATTCTGTGTCCCTCAGTAACAATTCTGTGTCCCTGAGTAACAATTCTGTGTCCCTCAGTAACAATTCTGTGTCCCTCAGTAACAATTCTGTGTCCCTGAGTAACAATTCTGTTGTCCCCTGAGTAACAATTCTGTGTCTGTCCCTGAGTAAGAATTCTGTGCTCTGTCCCCTGAGTAACAATTTCTGTGTCCCTAAGTAACGTTTCTGTTGCCCTAAGTAACGTTTCTGTGGCCCTAAGTAACGGTTTCTGTGGCCCTAAGTAACGATTCTGTGGCCCTCATAACAATTCTGTGTCCCTCAAGTAAACAATTCTGTGTCCCTGAGTAACAATTCTGTGTCTGTCCCTGAGTAAGAATTCTGTGTCTGTCCGTGATTACAATTCTGTGTCCCTGAGTAACGTTTCTGTGGCCCTAAGTAACAGTTCTGTGGCCCTCAGTAACAATTCTGTGTCCCTCAGTAACAATTCTGTGTCCCTCAGTAACAATTCTGTGTCTGTCCCTGAGTAACAATTCTGTGTCTGTCCCTGAGTAACAATTCTGTGTCCCTGAGTAACGTTTCTGTGGCCCTAAGTAACAATTCTGTGTCCCTCAGTAACAATTCTGTGTCCCTGAGTAACAATTCTGTGTCCCTGAGTAACAATTCTGTGTCCCTCAGTAACAATTCTGTGTCCCTCAGTAACAATTCTGTGTCCCTGAGTAAGAATTCTGTTATTAACAAGTCCTGAGTAAGAATTCTGTGTCTGTCCCTGAGTAACAATTCTTTGGCCCTAAGTAACGTTTCTGTTGCCCCTAAGTAACGTTTCTGTGGCCCTAAGTAATGATTCTGTGGCCCTAAGTAACGTTTCTGTGGCCCTAAGTAACGTTTCTGTGGCCCCTAAGTAACAGTTCTGTTGTCCCTCAGTAACAATTCTGTATCCCTCAGTAACAATTCTGTGTCTGTCCCTAAGTAACAATTCTGTGGCCCTATTAAAAAGTTTGTGTCCCTGTGGCCCTAAGTAACGATTCTGTGGCCCTACAGTAACGATTCTGTGGCCCTAAGTAACGTTTCAGTAGCCCTAAGTAACGTTTCTGTAGCCCTAAGTAATGTTTCTGTGGCCCTAAGTAACGTTTCTGTGCCCTAAGTAACGTTTTTTGTGTCTGTGGCCCTCAGTAACAATTCTGTGGCCCTCAGTAACAATTCTGTGTCTGTCCCTAAGTAACGTTTCTGTGGCCCTAAGTAACGTTTCTGTGGCCCTAAGTAACGGTTCTGTGTCTGTGGCCCTCAGTAACAATTCTGTGTCCCTCAATAACAATTCTGTGTCTGTCCCTAAGTAACGTTTCTGTGGCCCTAAGTAACGTTTCTGTGGCCTTAAGTAACGATTCTGTGTCCCTCAATAACAATTCTGTGTCTGTCCCTAAGTAACAATTCTGTGGCCCTAAGTAACGTTTCTGTGGCCCTAAGTAACGATTCTGTGGCCCTCAGTAACAAATCTGTGGCCCTCAGTAACAATTCTGTGTCTGTCCCTGAGTAACAATTCTGTGGCCCTAAGTAACGTTTCTGTGGCCCTAAGTAACGATTCTGTGGCCCTCAGTAACAAATCTGTGTCCCCCTCAGTAACAATTCTGTGTCTGTCCCTAAGTAACGTTTCTGTGGCCCTAAGTAACGGTTCTGTGGCCCTAAGTAACGGTTCTGTGGCCCTCAGTAACAATTCTGTGTCCCTCAATAACAATTCTGTGTCTGTCCCTAAGTAACGTTTCTGTGGCCCTAAGTAACGTTTCTGTGGCCCTCAGTAACAATTCTGTGTCCCTCAATAACAATTCTGTGTCTGTCCCTAAGTAACAAATCTGTGGCCCTAAGTAACGTTTCTGTGGCCCTAAGTAACGATTCTGTGGCCCTCAGTAACAAATCTGTGTCCCTCAGTAACAATTCTGTGTCTGTCCTTGAGTAACAATTCTGTGGCCCTAAGTAACGTTTCTGTGGCCCTAAGTAACGATTCTGTGGCCCTCAGTAACAATTCTGTATCCCTCAGTAACAATTCTGTCTGTCCCTGAGTAACAATTCTGTGTCCCTAAGTAACGTTTCTGTGGCCCTAAGTAACGTTTCTGTGGCCCTAAGTAACGATTCTGTGGCCCTAAGTAACGATTCTGTGGCCCTAAGTAACGTTTCTGTGGCCCTAAGTAACGTTTCTGTGGCCCTTAGTAACAATTCTGTGTCCCTCAATAACAATTCTGTGTCTGTCCCTAAGTAACAATTCTGTGGCCCTAAGTAACGTTT